GTAATCACAAACCAATGCCTCTTTTTTATCAGTCGAGTCGAAATGCTCTCGAATATACAACGCTCCGGCAGCTAACGGCAGCAGAGTCGTTGGCCCTTGTGCGCATTCTTTCCAACGTGGCGATTTCGTTTGTTGGCCAGTCATCACACGCAACAGATCCTTAAAAAACATTTTGTCCAATTGTGAAAATGTTGAGAAATATCAAATAAACGCAAAAAAAACCTTTCTCTTAACCAATATGATGTGAATAAAAATCATTACAGTTTTAACACTTAACCAATAAAAAATTGTCAAACAAAAACCAAAAAAGTAATACAATTCATGAGGCTTCGCTAAGAATCTTATAACAAAGTAACTTTAATCTCTCAGTAATTAAGAGTAAATCTAGTCCTTAAGAGTAATCATTTACACTTCAGTTTGAAGTTACTTCAGCGATAAATTGGAGACATATTTCTAATGAATGTGATCGAAATTGTTCTTCGAAACGAGTGTATCTATACCTGTTTAATATCTTCGAAACGAGTGTCCAGAATTTTCACCCAAGAATGAACGATACGCCATATGATATAATTGGCTTTGACTCGATTTTCAATCGTGTCCAATAACTTTGCAGTTTTCAGTAAGAACTCAATCTCACACGCGATCACTTCAGTATTATTATGGATCATTTTATGCAGATCTGCGGGCATTATCATATGGAAATATCGAACCCAGTCGATCTGAAACAAAACGAAAATGCTAAAAAATTCAATTCAGATGGATAATCTGGAAAAACCCTGGAAAATTTGATCAGAAATGAGAAAGAGACAAGGTCAAGTGATCGATCAACCTGAGGCATCATTTTGTAGAAATCTGCCACTTTCCGCTTATTATACATTCGTGTATTGTTACGTCGATCGTCTTCAGGTACAATGATCTGCAGCAAAGATCGCAAAATGACATTCCAATAAACAAAAATTCTTCTTATTTTCCAAAAATTTTCAACTTTTCAAATGAATCCTTTGCTCCAAATTGAGAGAATTTTTCAAATCTCGAAAGAAAAATGTTTACATTTCCAAAAGAATTCAACATATTCAGACAACAATTCTCTTAACCAACAACAAGAAATTGAGAGTACCGTTGCAAATTTCTTTTCAAATTCAAGAATTTCGTCCAAATCAGCTTGCAAATCAGCCTCATTCCGTGTTGTGTTTGCATCATGCAGCAACAATTTCACGATTTCGTGTTGATACTTCTTAAAAGCTGCCAAATGATTCGCGAACATCGTCGTGTTCAGATAATAATCTCGCGAACCACGACCCAAACTCAACATCCCCTGATCGATCTGCAACACTTAGATATTTATTAATTTCACATATTAACTTCACCCAAACAATTGATAACTGGAACGGTTTTACCAAAATTGATACAGGTAAAACAGATAGACGGATATTCTTTAAATCAATTCCTTAACATTTATCGCACGTTTCAAAAAATGCTCACGATCATTTCAATCAAAATTGACTGTAACTTTCAGCTGATCATAATATTCGATCGAAATTCAGCAACAAACTCCCACGAAACTGTGAAAGTCTGAAAGAATCTGTACATGGCAATTCTGAAAGATTCTAAATCTGCACGTTGGAATGCAGTGGATTCTGTGAAATTCTGAAAGAATCTTTATATGGGAATACAATACATTGAGCATTTTCGAGAAATATCCCTACAAAACCATTTCAAGCAAATGAACAAGAAACGAACATAAAGCGTGTTTTTGGTTGTGTTCTTAGCATCGGCATAAACGTAAACTTGGAAGAAGATCTCATTTCCGTAGTTGCGTTTTGCCATTGCCAGCAATGAGGTGAGATCGAAAGCACTTCGATTCCACGCGTTCGGTGTCAACAAAGGCCAATTTCCCAGCGAATCCAATGCGCTCAGCAACTGCCTAACATGATAAACAATAAACGGATAAATAAACAATTGAGAGATAAACAATTAAAGATCGTTCAATAAACAATTAAGAAATTAAACAGGTATGAACGATTCATTGAAAAAAGTAACTCCTCTAACACCTAGTTCGCTAAAAAAATATTTTTGAGACCAATAACTGCAAATTACTACGAAGAAGAACCTTGATTTCCGTGCCTCCAGCTCACTCGTATTCATGCAAGTTCTATAGGCGATTCTCGTCATACCAATCGATTTCGATGTTGTCGGTGAATCCGACTCAAATAACACTGAAAAAATCAGAAAAATTCAGCTGAAAATTATTCTCTCCAAATAATCTAACAAAAAATTCCAAAATCTTTTTAAAATTCTCATACAAGCAAACGAAAAATTTTTCGATCAAGCAGTCTTCTCAAGATTTCGCACTGTATAAACTCGCACTGCGCATTATTAGCCTAATCTCACCTCTCATTTGTTGTCGCACATTTTCTCGCACATACGCAAACGTCCCATAGGCAGACATATCATCCGGTATCGGATGGTCTCGATTCCATTGACCGCAAGCGTATTCATAGAAATTATCACACGGATCCACTGACGTATTGATGGCCATCAACTGAATTTGTTACTGTCGTTACTATTTTAATCAGAACGATCTTCTTTTTGATATCATTATCACGATTATTATTACTATCATTATCAGTCTGCTATCATCAGCTCTGATTTTTATCACTGATATCATTATATTTATCAATTCCCAAGATCCATCAACTAACCAAGTGATTCGCTGCCATCACGCATCCTTTTGTATCACATATTCGATCATTCGGTGCAATTTCATCAGGAGATTTTATGGGTTTTGCGGACGCAGTAGTTGTTATTATGACAGGTTCTGGAGAGTCATCCTTCCGCAGTTTTGTGCCTTCCTTCCGGATTTTATCCGGAGTTGTTGATGAGGGCAACGGAGAGGACGACGAAGAAGGATGTGCTGACAATGAGATGAGGTAAGGATAAATACAATGAGATAGATTATTTCATTTAAATTCATGACACTTATATTCTCAACAAATAGAAAACTTGTGACTTTTTTAACTTCAGACTGAACCTGCCTCGTTCTGTTGATTGATGGTTTACGAAAATGATAAATTTGTTGGTAAGAAATCAAAGTTTTTAATCAATTATACTTCAATTAATCTCGGAATCTGTCGCATTATTCAACGTAAGATAACAAGTAACAAATGAATGAATGAATCAGATCACTAACCAAAATTCTGATCAAATCGTGACAATAAACAAAGCGCTATGATGAGAAGCATTGCGAGTAGAATTGTCAAGAAAAGGAGAAGTTTCTCCAATGAACTCCTCCTTCGAAACCACTGAAATTCATTTATCTCACAATCAGTTGCAAATTTGCACCGAAATTACGTTTCTATTCGATTTAGAATTATCCAAGGAAATCGCACGTCAAACAATATTTAGATTATTGAATTGCACACGGCACCGAATTCATCTGATTGGATGACTTGAAATGACTTTGTACGAGCAGGCGATTTCGTTGAATCTTAACATGGAATGGGGCAGAGGAGCGCTGACAGTGAGATTACAATTGAGGATGGAACAAAAATGAGAGGAGCAATGAGCTTGTTTGAAGAAGAAGGTTTGGAAATTGCATTTTCTATTTTCTAAAGCAGACAGTAATTTGAGTAAGCAAGTATTTGTTGTTAGAAAAGAAGTGGAATATTTCAATTTTAAACGAAGAACGCTTTCTAATGTGTGCGATGAAACAAATCGACCAAAAAATGTCTCATTTTCAGAACCATTGAAATTTTTACGTAACATTAGTTTGTTGGTTGTCTTTAACAAATTCAATGAGAAAATAAAACTCATTTCGAAGAATTCAATAAAATTACGAATTTTTTTTGGAACGATTGCGCTTTTCCTCTGTTTTTTTTTGAAGTCTTATTCCTTCACCAATGTATTTGTAAAAGTTAACTGAATCAATTGAGGCTCAAAGACCAAAACAAACTCGGGACGTGTGGTTAGGTTTAAGCATAGGTAATGATGCAGCCAGCTCAGATTGTTGTTGTAGTCTGTGACGAGTCGTTTCATTTACAACAAATTTGAGTCATAAAATAGACTTGAGAAAAAAAAAAGAATTTTTCATTTGATGACGACAAAGATACCTAGGCGAATTTGCTTGTGTATAAACGAAAATGTGAAATAATTAGCCGCGTCACTGACTTTTAAATTAAAAGATATTGTGTTCAGTTTACATGAAAAGAAAACCCTATTGAGTGACTAATGCAAATCTATGAAACCTTAAAACATTCACGAATTTTTTACTTTTTACTTGTTGGATTTCAAATTTCACAACGTTTTTTGTATTTTCCAGTATTTTCAGCACTGTTATTACTGTTTTCGAGTTCTCGAGAGATAAGACTAAAGAATAAGTTAGAACGTGCGCATCAGTTCAGGAAAATAAGAGAGAATTGACCTCGTTTCACTTGAATACCACTCGAAACTACAATCCAGCCAAAATGTAATTTGAAGCGTCTTCTCATGTAAATTACAAATTTATTTTTACAGAGTGCAAACACTTGATTTTGTGCTATTTGAATATACCAATCCAATAGGATTGTTTTACAAAAAATGCAAATAAACATAAGATCATGTCGACACTCACGAGTTACTCTTGATCAGAATAGCTCTTGCCTGGATTATATAATGACATTCAAGGTTACACTATATACTATACTCTGATAAAACTGATTCTGATAAAACATTATTAAAGTCAAGTTTAAATCCAGAAACTATAATACAGATCGGATTCAGTATCATTTCATTCAATGCGCTCTCATTCTTTGTTTCTCTCGTTTTTTGGGTCTCTTTTCATTTCTCATTCTTTGTTTCTCTCGCGCTATCGTACTCTTTTTATTTCTCATTCTCTGTTTCTCTTCGCCTTTTAAGTACTTCGAACATGAGCAAACTCGCTCGGTAAAAAATTGGAAACACTCAAGAATTCTAACTCATAAACGGTTTTCACGAGACCAAAACAAATGGACTGGAATTCTCATTCAAACTATTATTATTATTGTGTCTGCTGTCAATAATGGGCAAAATAACAATGAATTGAAATTTGAAAATTTGTTAATATGGAACAGCAAATAGAAATATTATGTAATTTCACGAACTTCGCAGAACATTTCTCAAGAATGTATGAAGTTTTTAGAAATCTATGAGACAGATTTAAAAGACACATAAGAACAATAGTAAAAGATTAAACGTGGTCAACAGTCCACAATGCATTCTGAACTGTGTACAGTTCAGTCCACAATACATTTTATGTACAATTTATTATGTGATCGACGATTTTATATTATAGTAACTGAATCAAAAACTGTTTGCTCACGATCAAAATTTCTCTGACAACATTCGGATTCGATTGAATTTAGCTTCGAACGGATGGATCTCTAAATAAGAACAATAGATCGGGAGAATGATGATGATGCTTCAAATGGAGAGTATAAATCTCAGAAAGCTTAGAAATCGGAGAAGCATTAGATTCAAATGACTAAATATTTCGATGTTTCTCATTATGAATATGTTCCAGAACATGAGGAGAGAGAACTTGACGAGTTACATTACAGGCATATATGACCGTTTATTTTGTAAATGTTTGCAAATGCAATCGTTTTAGATCAATTTTCCTTTGGTTTTCTCTTCGGATGAAGTTGGATTTGTCATATAACAGCGATGAGAAAGGTAAAATTGCGCACAGAAATAACAACAAACATAAATTACGATGAGGATAAAACATTTACATTATTTAATCACTGAAATTCAATGATACATCACAATTCGAAGAGAAAGTAAGAGGAGCATTTGAATGAGACATTCTTCAAAGAGTTGCATAATGACCTATATATAACATCTGGGAGATATACTTTGAAGATAAATAGAGCAAGTAGCCCATATATTGCGATATCATCGATTCATTCATACATACATACATCTTATCCCATACACACAGATTACGTTAATCTCAAATGGTACAACTTTGTAAACTCTGTTCTGAATTTGACTAAACTTATCGGAACAATTTCATTGGAATCACGTAGAGCAGAAGATTACGAATTAAGAGTGAAC